GCCACCTTAGGTGTACGTGGCTGGCGCCTTAGCCGGTTGAGCTATAGGCACCGAGCCATAAGAACAAATCTTATGGAAAAAGTATTTTTTCACATATTTTGTCATTCTAAAATTGTTTCAAGTATGAAGGTAAATTTAGTCCCTTTTACTTTATCTTGACTGAAAGCTAAAGCTCCAGTCAAGTTATAGGCTGGAAGTATCTTCAGACTTTCCTTATAGAGAATATTTATTACATTGTTGTTTGAATAAGATGTTTATCTTTTATTCCAAAGATCTTATATATTCCTTTTGAGGTTCCCCCCCCCCGCCCAGTTATTTATAGTTTCAGAATCTTAGACACATTTCCTAGCCATCTTGTTAAGGAAACTTCTTTAAGCAGGATTCAAGATATAGCTGAGGAAATAAAATAGTCTTGTAAAATTAAGGATAATTATGTGAAATGTCAAAACAAATTTGGGAATCTATAATTTCTATAATAAATTTAACTTTAAAATGTAAATGATTTAATTCATACTGTTGAATCAACTAAGCCATATTAGGTAAAATGATTGTCTTTTTGGGAATGTTTAATTTTGGTATAATTGTAGACATATGTTGAACATGCAATAGTAATACAAAAAATTCCTTTATACCTCTTGTTCAGATTCTTTAATTGTTTTCTTTTTATGCACTTGATTTTTGCAGAATACACCTTTAGACGTAACATCGAAGAAGGAGTGGGAATCCCCAAAATACCTGTACAACCCATTGGATATAATGATGCAGAAATATTATTACGGTATTATTTTCTAGTTGGATATAAGATTAAACTATTAAGATATTTTGGATTGAGTTGTCCATTTTCTGATCTAAAATCACCAATATCTGAAGGCTAATTATTTAAAAAGTAAAATCTTGTATCAAAATAATACCTGAAGTTGGAAAAACAAAGCATACCATCTTTTTATTATGTAAAAGTAGTCTTTTTACTGACTAAAATGTGAGAGTACATGGCACAACTACAACAGGGACTATACCTAAATGCAAACACTGTAACCTAATTCTTTATACCTTCAAATTAACCTGAAACAAAAAAATAAAAAATAATAGAAAAACATTGCTCTCTGTTTGCTACAAATAAAAATTTTCAAAATATAAAACTATATCTGAAAATAAAAATGAATACAAATTTGAGATTTTTCAAGTAGTTGGATTTTCATAAATATTAATTACATATTTATATTTGATATGAAGTTTAAAAATATAATAATGCCCACCACATACTAGATTGAATGGACTTGGACCACTTAATTAATCTTTCTCTGATTCTGTTTCCTTGTCTATAAAATGAGCACAGTAATTTTTTCTCCATAGTAACGTTATTATAAGATCATGTATGTATTTTGCAGTGTCTAGAATATGATAAATTGTTTGTGTTTGCTGTTATTGTATTATTATATTTTAAATGTTTGTATTAGTACAACTTAATAATTGCTTGTGAGTGCCTATTATGTAACCAGCAGTTTCTTTCTTTAATTTATTTCTTTTGAATCATAGCTATGTACATTAATACTTTCATGGGGTACAGTGTGTTGTTTCTATATACAATTTGAAATACTTTCATCCAATCGGTTAGCATAGCCTTCATGTCATTTTCTTAGTGGTTGTGTTAAGACATTTGTATTCTACATTTAGAAAGATTCACATGTACCCTGATAGGATAAATCATAGGCGTGATCCCACCAATCACCCTCCCTCCACCCATCCTCCCCCTGCTCTCCTCTCCCCTCCCTCTCTCCTGTATTCTTGGGCTAAAATTAGGTTATAGTTTTCCTATGGTAGCTATAAATTAGTTTCATACTAGGGTTGAGTACATTGGATACTTTCAAGTTTCTTATCCTTGACATAGTCATGAGTGTCAGGATTTTTGGACTCAGTGCTTTCCCACATAAATAACTAGGTCAAAGGTAAGAAAGCAAATGATTCCCATTTGCCCTCACTACTTTATTTTTTCTCCTATCTCTTGTCACTAACATGTTACATATGTGGTATTTTACTTATTTATTTCAATTATAGCTGTCTCACTAGAATGTAAGTTTTCCAAGGGAAGTTTTTGATAATACCTAGCACCTAGTAAATATGCAGTATTTCTTAGGTATATGAAAGAAATATTATTTTATCATCAAATTTTATTATTTCTTCTTGAAATTTGTCATGCTCAACCTTTATTTGTCATTTTCATTTTCTTTTAACAGCCATTTGGGAGGAATTGCTCCACCAGATGACAGCTGGAAGGGAAGTCTTAATGTAGGTTATAATATTGGGCCTGGCTTTACAGGGAGTGATTCTTTCAGGTAATTTTGCATTGCTTTCATAGCCTGCAAAAGCTTTGAGAATCTGAGCAGAGAGCCCATGTTTATTTTTATGTTTAGGTTAACATCAATTTTTTTCCCTTATTCTTCATTTGTTATGTTTTTCTTTACTTAATTTTCTTTATTTAATGACAACTAATTTGGGCTTCTTAAACTAAGATATTTTCAGGAAGACATGCTAAACAATATTTTGGTCTTTCTAATAGTCTTATCTCTTGGAAGCAAAAATAAATTCCTCACTTAATGCCTTAAAATGAAAAAGAAAAAGTCCATCTAACATAATTGATGCTATTTTTAAAAAGGCAAAAAAACCACTCATCCATTGATTAGTTTTCCTTTGAAGTACTGTTATTGAATATTGCAAGTGCATTAAATATGCACTCAGAAGTGGTATACTTTTGGCAGGGGGCCAGAATTTGCTTTTAATAATATACAGGTTTTGACAGCCTTTTAGTTCTTCCATTTAAAAAAGTAACCACAAATTAGAAACAAGTGGGGTACCCTCACTCCTCGGATAAATATTTAGTTTGTTCTTTTTTTCAAAATATGGCAATTTTCTCATGTCATTTTGGATCAATAAAATGTGTCACTTTTTGTTCTGTCTTGATGAGCTTGATTAAATTTCACCTTGTTTTCTAATTTGGTTAACTGTAATTTATGAATGAATATTTACAAGTACAGCTCAAATCAGATTCAACATTGAAGGCCTGGAAATGTCTCATTATGTAGTTGTGTATTTTAGCAGGAGCTTCTCAGATTCTCATTTAGCAATACAATTTATCGTGTTTGTTATAGGCAGGACTCAGCTCTTTAACAATGAACTTACATGCCACTTCCATAATATTAAGAAAGTTAGAAAATAGCAGGATTTAATATAAATACAAAGAAAAATATTCAAATAATATGTTTATATTTTTGTCTTTATTGCATAATCAGATGTCTTCCTTGCTTTTGTAATTAAGTAAGGTGTATTGACAATTTTTAGAATAAACTAAGACTTTTTTTTTAAACTGTAGTTTGTCCGGGGTTGGATTCAAACCCACCACCCTTGGTATATGGGGCTGGCACCCTAGTCACTGAGCTATAGGCACCGCCCAAACTAAGATATTTTTAATAAAGGAATTTTTTAAATTTTTAATAAATAATAGTATATCTATAAGGGATTTTAAGGGGCATGTTTAGGAACTTAGGAATAAATGACATGATGTCTGAAACTTACTTGCTGATGGTTCAACAGGTTAATAATAACTAAACTTGGGTGGTGCCTGTGGCTCAGTGGGTAGGGTGCTGGCCCCATATACCAAGGGTGGCAGGTTTGAAACTGGCCCCGGCCAAACTGCAACAAAAAATAGAACCCACAGCATTCTGGTGGGCTCCTGTAGTCCCAGCTACTCATGAGGCTGAGGCAAGAGAATCGCCTAAGCCCAGGAGTTGGAGGTTGCCGTGAACTGCAATGCCATAGCACTCTACCAAAGGCGATAAAATGAGACTCTGTCTCTAAAAAAAAAAAAAAAAAAAAAAAAAACAATTACTGAACTTAAGTGGTCAATATATGAGACCATTTTACATTTTTTCATAGTAAACTTTCATTATGAAAACAGCTTTTCATAATAAAACAATGGAAGAAAAAGACAGACATAATGCTCTATACTGAGTAGTTTATTCCTTTTGAAATTCTAGGAAGGTTAGAATGCATGTGTATAACACCAATAAAATTACAAGGATTTACAATGTAATTGGAACTATCAGAGGATCTGTGGAACCTGGTGAGTCAGTGATTTTTTTTTAGCATGTTGTTTTTACAAAGGTTAAAAAGGGGGAGGCTGAGGCAGGTAGACTGCTTGAGCTTAGGAGTTTGAGACCCCTGAGCAAGAGCAAGACTCCATCTCTACTAAAAATAGAAAAAGTGGCCAAGCATTGTGGCAGGCACCTGTAGTCCCAGCTATTTGGGAAGCTGAGACAAGATCACTTGAGCCCTAGAGTTTGATGTTGCTGTGAGCTATTACACCATGGCACTCTGCCCAGGGCAACAGAGTGAGACTCTGTCTAAAAAAATAAATAAATAAAAAGATTAAAAAGAAAAAATCTCAAGTCAGTGATTTTTTTCTTGACTGATTTGAAACTACAAAATTTAGGGGGAAAATTGTACAACTCTAAAAGAAAACTTCATAGTGTTGATTTTATATGGAGGAAACTTAAACAAGAGCTTCTTATGGAGATTTTTTTCTAGAGAGGAGACTTAAGCAAGAGAAAGTTTAATTTAAAAACATAAATTACAAACATTTATTATATATTCAAAGTTGTAGTTATATTGAACATGTTCTTTTCCAGACAGGTATGTTATTCTGGGAGGTCACCGGGACTCCTGGGTATTTGGAACTATTGACCCAACCAGCGGGACTGCTGTTTTACAAGAAATTGCCAAGAGTTTTGGGAAACTGATGAGTAGAGGTAATTAACTTTTCTTTCCTAGATGATGACAAAAAATATGACTTTCTTAATATTGTTTTTGTTTTTAGACAGTTATACCTAACCATGTATGTTAACAATGATTATAGGCTGGAGACCTAGAAGAACTATCATTTTTGCCAGCTGGGATGCAGAAGAATTTGGACTTCTGGGTTCCACAGAATGGGCTGAGGTAAATAAGACAGAGAAGGTTCTTGCTATTTTTTTGTCAACAGATAACAAATGAATATGTATCTTAGAATGATCACAAATAGATTCCATTATCTAATATGATTTTAATTTGGAAAAATGACTCAAGAAAATTTAAGAAAATTTGTTTTTATTTTCCTGCCAGTTTGGCATAAAAGAATAATCTATTATTGCTAGGCTATAAACAAATTTATTTGTTCTTGTCAAAATATTTTAGTTTCTCTCTGTATTTGTTTTGTGAAAAATAAGTAAAATCAGTAAATTCCAAAAATAATAAAAATTAGCAAACTGTTTCTTACAAGTGATTTCACTTATCTAAAAATTAAAGCAAATCTTTGAAGTGAATTTTTAAATTCTTGAACTTTCCTTGGAGTTATTCCAACTGAGAAAACATACTGTGTTCTATTAAGATAGCTATACTTTGATTATAATTTCACATTTATAGATTCCATATAAAACGGCAACCATGGTATATTTTCCCATTCACAAGATATGTGCTTAATTGTAAAGTATAAGGTGATAATTTTGTAAATTGAATTACTTCAGTGAATAGATCTGCTTTACACTTTTAGGTGATTTACTTTTATTTTTATTTATTTATCTTTTTCCTTTTATTAAGTCATATACACATAGGTCATGAATATATTTATGCTTTTGTGGGGTATAATGTGTTGATTTTTTAATACCATTTGGAATGGTTACATCAAACTAATTAAAATAGCCTTCACCTCATTTACTTGTTGTGTTAAGACATTTATGTTCTATACATGGTAGATTTGACTTGTACCCTTACAATATGCTCCATAGGTGTGGTTCCACCATTTACCCTCCCTTTAGTGAACCTCCTTCCTCCCCTCCCATCTGCCTCTACTTCTACATCCTGGAGAAGTTCATATAGATGACAATATCCTATAGTTGTAATCTATCTTTCATAAGAAAGTATGAGTAATTATAAATTGGTTTCACAAAGTATTGAGTACTTTGGATACTTTTTCTTTCATTCTTGAGATACTTTACTAAGAAGAATGTTTTCCAGCTCCATCCATATAAACATAAAAGAACTAAAGGCTCCATCTTTTTTAAGGTTGCCTAGTATTCCATGGTATATATATACCACAATTTATTAATCCATTCATGGCTTGATGTGCACTTGGGCTTCTTCCATGACTTAGTAATTATGAATTGAGCTGCCGTGAACAATCTGGTGCAAATATCTTTGTTCCAAACTGATTTTTGGTCTTTTGTATATATACCTCATAGAGGAATTGCAGGATCAAATGGCAGGTCTACTTTTAGATCCCTGAGTGTTTTCCAAAATTCCTCCAAAAGGAATGTATTAGCTTGCATTCCCACCAGCAGTAGAGAAGTGTACCCTTTCTTCACATCCAAGCCAACATCTGTAGTTTTGGGATTTTGTGATGTGGGCTACTCTTACTGGAGTTAGATGATATGTCAAAGTGGTTTTGATTTGCATTTCTCTGATGATGAGCATTTTTTCATGTGTGTGTAAACCATGTGCCTGTCTTCTTCAGAGAAGCTTCTGTTTCAAGTCTCTTGCCCACAATGAAATGGGATCACTTATTCTTTTCTTATTGATAAGTTTGAGTTCTCTGTGGATTCTAGTTATCAGACGTTTGTTGGAAACATAACCTGCAAATATCCTCTCCCATTCTGAAGGCTGTCTACTTGCTTTATTTACTGTGTTCTTGGCAGTGAGAAGCTTTTTAGTTTGATCGGATCACAGTAATGTATTTTTAACATATATAGCTTCAATTGCCCAGAGGTCCTTCTCATAAAGTGTTCTCCCAAGCCAATTTCTTCAAGTGTTTCCCCTGTACTCTCTCCAAGAATCTTTGTAGTTTCATGTCTTAAATTTAAGTCTTTTATC